GCCTCACAGGGGCGACGAGTCTCCCAGCTGTAGATGAGAAATTTAGCCAGTGCGGTACAGCCGCTAGCCTGGGGTCTTTAACGCGCACCACGCAGTAGTGGTACACGACCGCACGCCGGTACGATGCTCATCCAGATCGAAACGGGCAGGGGCGGGGCTCGAGCCCAGGATCCCTGGGTTCTGCAGCGCGAGCTTTCGCTCCACGTGCTCCGAGCTGGTGTGCGCTAGACCACTCGGCCACCGATCCCCCTCCTTAGCATGGACTAACCGCGAATGCTGTGCTAGCGCGAGCGGCTGCAGCCTTGACTGCTTTGACTGGAGCACTCGCTGCTCGAGCGTTCGTTCAGCCGCCGAGGCTTCATTCGAAGCAACTAGCTCGCGCTTTTAGCACGCGCGGGTAACAATAGTCCTTACTAAGGTGAGACGAAGTATAGTTGTGGTTTGCGCTGTTGCCCTCATGTCGTCCGAGGCACCGGAAGGAGTCCTCGATAATAGTGAGTTTTAGTAAACCGTGTTTCCCGCTCCGCTAAGCCCCTCCGCTACCCGGAACTCTACAGCCAAGGCCATCGGCGCGCAGGCGCAGTGGCGATTCCGCGCTCCGCTCTGCAGAGCGGCTGCACAAAAACGATCTACTAAAACTCCCTAATGATCGATGCCGTCCTAAGGCCGCTCCTCAAACAACTGGTTTTAGATGCGGAGCATCTCTTGCTCGGGCTATGTGCCGCGGCGTCGTAGTCCGCACTCACACTACGCATGCGCAACTCTCCTCGCTGCGCGTGCGTTCTATGTCTCTCCAACAGCTGCGCGAAGTGCACGCAGCTACCAGCTGCGTCCCTCTCTCCAACAGCTGCGCGTGCGTTCTATCTCTCTCCAACAGCTGCGCGAAGTGCACGCAGCTACCAGCTGCGTCCCTCTCTCCAACAGCTGCGCGTGCGTTCTCTCTCTCTTCAACAGCTGCGCGAAGTGCACGCAGCTACCAGCTGCGTGCACCTCGCGTGCGTTCGCTTCTACTCACACCGCGCGCGCAGGCGCAACTCTCCTCCTCTAGTTTCTTCTCCTTCAAGTTTGAATATAAGCAGCGGTAGCGCGCTGCGCGTTCAAGGGGAGGAAGTGGCCGAACAATAAAGAAAAAAAAAATAAGGAAGTGGCCGAGTGGGTTAACGCGTCTCAGCTCGGAGCGTGGAGCGAAAGCTTGCGCTGGGAACCTCCTGGGTTCGAGTCCCCGCCACCCCCGCCCGTTTCGATCTGGATGAGTTTCGTACCGGCACGCGTTCGTGTGATGACTACTGCGTGATGCACGTTAAGAATCCCAGGTTAGCGGTTGTACTTCACTGGCTAAATTTCTTATCTACAGCTAAGAGACCGATTCCCCGTTGAGGCGCATCTCTATCAAGGCTGTATAAACATAAATAGCAAGCCAATTTCTGCGCGCGTTCAGTTCACCGCTGTTGACTCCACTTCACTCCGTTCTTCCGATGAAGCGTGATGGAACGATGCTCCGCATCACCCCATGGTTCCCCTCGGGAAGATGGTGTAATTTTTTGATTGCACGTTCTTTGTATTGCGCCCGACCCTTCAAGAAACATATTTCTTATAGCAGAAATCAGTTTGGCGTTTTATGCATCTAACTGGGCGCTGCTGCTATAATCGTGTATCGCAGTGTCATGTACGCCTCGACTTTCCTTCTCTCGTCAGCGCGCTCCGAGCCCCATTGTCGGGAGTGCGAGAGCTAAATACGTCTGATAACACTGACATCCTTCTCACCTCCACGCCGTTTGTGTGAATGCTTGAGCCGGGGAAGAAGTCCCGCTGATTCTGTCGATCACTGACGTCACGCACATCGCTCCCCGAAAGGCATCCCTTGTTTTGTGGGAATACCCCTATATGAACTGTAAAGTCCCTCCTCTGCTTTTGTAATCAAAACTCCATTTTTAGCTCTTGAAGAAACCGTTAGCGTCACTTGAACAGGTAACTAGCACTTGGGAGGAGACCGGTTTGCAAAAGCCAGCTTGAGAGAAGGTCCCCTGTAAATACGCATTCCATCTTTATCATTAGGCGCAGCACCGCATAGCCGGAGGCCTCCAATGGCACATGAGTATTCGTTTTGCTGCGCAACTGTCCACCTCCCAAATTAAAATAGATATGGTTATGGCTTGAGCGGATATATAAACCATAAATATTATTCACCTCATGTTTGAATCAGCTTGATATTAGTCTGCTCGCTGTCACGATACCAAACATGTTTCATTAATATTACTAAACAGAGGGTATCAAACGAGCGAGCCAAGCAACGTAACAAAAAAAAAAGTGTTCAGTGGCTGCGTTTTTTAACGCACCGCAGCTTGGAGGACGTGGTGCGGAAGCTCGCGCTGTAGCATCGAGGGATTCTGGGTTCACTGCCCATCCCTGCCCGTTCGAATCTTGATAATCATCGCACAGGTGTGCGGTCGTACGAGATTCATGTTAAAGATTCCAGGCCGTATCAGTATACTGCACTGGCTAAATTTCTCATCTATACAGCGGTGACACCAGGCACCCAACGGGGCTGAAGAATGGCCTCGTTACACGGGCACCCTTAACCGCAGTTAAGTCGCCTTTCACTTCTGATATTACGCTTCACCACCGTTATCTCGGATGGCTATTGCAGAGGAAGTAAAGAGTGCATGGGCCCAGCTTTGATGGGCGCTCAAGATGCGCCACCGCATCTTGAGCGTCCATAGGTTTGACTGTATAGCCGCATAACGTTGTCCGAAAGTATAGTGGGGTAACTGCAGCTCGAAAGTGTAGTTATAATAAGTGTGCCCACGTAACAAAGATATATGGCAGGGGTCTCAAACACGCGGCCCGTTACTCTTTTGGACACGGCCCGCAAGACTTCCGTGGCTGCGAGCTCCCGTTCTCGAGCGCGCTGCATGCGCTATAAATAATGACCTCTTGTCGTCCATTCCTTTCCACGGGAAACGTAGCTCCGCTCCTTTGACGTTTTAACATATTAGGCACTAATTTATTTTATTTCAGATCCCAGGATTGTTTCGTATTATACAGCATTAAAGGGACCCTGCAATCATATTTAAGCGTCCACCTTTTTTGCGGTTTCCACGTCTCTTGGGGTTCGGGCAAGCCAGCAGGCACGGTGAGAGTAACGAAATATCAGTGCGTCATATTTTAACCGGACGACGCGGAAACCTCCTCCACCGACGAGGGTGACCCGCGGTACCGAAAGCGCGCAAAATCTGACGTCTTTGGTCCTGGGCTTACTACTGGACAGAGCCGCTAAAAGCTTCTTTTTAGTCGAAATACAAAATATAAGTGGCGCGAACCGTTTCACTTATTTATAAAAGTAGTTTTTGTTCAGTATTTTTGATCAAAAAAGAAACGAATGCCGTTCATAAAGTACGGAAACAAGAAATGACCCGTCGACATACCCGCCACCAAGCGGTGGAAAAGGCGGCGCATACTAGAAAAGAGTAGTGGGATCAGGCGCCGACACGAAAAGGTCCCGGATGTACGCGGCGGCGCTGCGGTCGTTTGGGCAGGAGCATCCGACCGGCTCCGAGCGTTCCGAAGGCCTTCGGCGGGAAGCTTTGTCTTGCGTTTTGGCCGTTTCGCGGTGTGGCAGCGCAAAGTAGCTCCCATTCTGGACTGATCTTTACCCCGTGTTTGCTGTCGTTTCTGGCCAATGAAGTGTCATGCCGAACTAGCCTTTAATCGCGCAGCAAATGCAATGAGAGCCGCTCTGGCTGCCCGCTGCATACATCCTATCCCGAACACGCTTCAATAGCGCCCTCTCGCGCCGTCAACTCGGAGTGCGGCAGCCGTGAGCGTTCGATGAGCCCACTACTTCTCCTCTAGTTCACGGCCACTCTCAAGCAACCAAAAACGTCATGAGGGAGGTTATTTTTTGCTTGTTTTTGTAATTTTAATTTGCCTATAACTTCTAAAATAAAGGGAATTTCGAGAAAAGAAAAGTTTCACTAAGTTACTACGTTCAGTGCGCTCAGGTTCGGTGCAAATTAAAAATTAGTAAAAAGGTCATTGCAGGGCCCCTTTAAGACTCAAGCATTTTCTTGTAATTCTGCTATAAAAACCTTCAGGAAAACAAAAGCTACAGCACAAAAAGAATTTGTTTCGAGACATATTTAAATCGGATACTTCCCAAGCGAATTGAGCGACGTAGTAAGGATTGTGTGCTTGATTTTTATTTATATTCAGAAATTCCCGCGCGTCGGCTGGAGGGTGGTATTTTCAATCTTGCAATCACACTAGGTACAAACCAGATGTAGTTGTATGACTAAATCAAAGCTAAAGACGGCACTGGAAAAACGGCTATTTTACAAAACAAGCAAATAGCACGAGATCCCTTCTTTATGAAATCTCTGGGTGTCGCTAAAAGACTCGGCTGCTTTGCAACGAAAAACAGGATCGCTGTTTGTTGGTCTACCTCCCGCCCGATGTTGACCTTCGACATTTTGGAGTATGGCGTATTTAGCTGCAACACTCAAACAAGTTTGGAACCCCTGGTATTGGGGGTGTTCACTGGACGCCCTTTGATTGCACTGTTCAAAGCGCATGCTCAGAACAAGCGTCACATTAATAGGCTGCTACGACCGGCAATATTCATGGTGTAGAATGCACGATGCAAAAGAACTGTGGAAGCAGGCCGTTAGCACGCACTCAGCAGTCACGCATACAGCCATGGCCACCAGTGAAAACTTGCTATAACTTCCCGCAGGCTAAACATATGCACAACACATACACAAAACAAAGCAAAATCTCGAGAAAGGTTGAGTCGACATCACGCGTGATCAACATAATAATGACGTTGAAAAACAAAATTAATAGAAGTAGGAACTGCCGTCTTCGCAAGTTATAGCGCGGTTCGTGCCTTCCTTTTCCCCGGTTTCTTTTCATCGAGCGGACGATAAGGAAACCTCGTGACTCCAGCCGTGCTCCTGATTGGCCAGATCGGACGGCCGTGTCGTCTGCTACGAAATCTCGATTGCGAGAAACGGACGTCGTCTGCTCGCTGGGCACACTCACGCGGGGGATCGTTTTCCAAACCGGATTGAGCTCCTGCGAGAGGAAGCGAGAACAGTGACCGTGAAGCCGTGAAGCACTCTCTTCGTGATTTAGGAGGATTGTGTCCCCGTCTTTCCTTGTCCCCTGGGGGTCCCCCTTTCAGTTTCGGCGAAGTCGTCGTCGGAAGGCCATCCAAAGACTCGAAGATGGCGTCGCTTGCCGCCGTCTCGGTTCCAGTGGCTGTTTTTCTCCTCGCTCTTATAACCGACAGGTGAGTGTGTTTACGATTGCGATTACAGGCTGCAGCTGGCTCAGCTGCAGCCTGTGTGACAGGCTGCAGTTGAGCCAGCTTTCGAAGAAGATACAAGCCTCCACAAAACTCAGTCCAGATGTGTTCTTTAATGTCAAGACCCACAAAGCAAACTTTCCGTTAAGAGCGATTGTAACGGAGAGGGATGCGTGGCAAAAAGAAGTAGGGGGCTTCCCTCGTAGGCAGTTGGCCGGCCTTGAATTGAGTGACCCATTCCTGGTGCGGAACTCGGAGGCTGTCATAGAATTTTTGGCGAAGGGCGACCAGACCTACGCGGAGGATTTTCTATTGAAGTGGAGGACCTTTTCTATTCCATCCCGCATGACAAGCTTTTCCCAGCAGTAAAAAAGTGCATTGAAGAAAACGATGAAATAAGCTTTAGAAATTCGAGCGGAGTAAGTGTGGAACTTTTTTAGAGTTACTAGAATGCTACCTTAACTCAACATTTGTGTCCTTTGGGGGTGGTATTTACGTTGAAAAGCGAGGCATATGTATCGGCTCCCGTGTTGCGCCAGTGCTCTGCGATATATTTTTGGCTGAATGTGATAAGAGAATACGTAAGGATATCGAAAGATTGGGGGAATTCACAATCTCTCTGTATGTGGATGATTTCTTGGCGCTTGCCCCGAAGTCCGTCACTGTTACCATGGGCTTAATCAACGATGTGCTAAATTGTTTTAACTTAAATTCAGATGGATTGACGTTCACCCATGAAACAATGACGAAATAAAGCGTTCAGTTTTTCGATTTGAGCATCAACTTCGAAGTTGACCATGTTTGTTGGAAATATGAGCCGCGAACTAAGAAAGGGGTTCTGCCCTTCAATTCTGCGCAATCCAAACTCGTTAAAACGGGAACCGCATCGTGCCTAATGAGAGTCTCGCTGGCAAAATCATGCCACCATGTCGCGAATGAAAGCTTCCTCGCGCAGGTGAATCGTCTAAAACGCGGAGGGTACCCCGATCGCTTCTTGGGGGAAGTAGCGGATAACCTTGTTTCCAAGATGAAGAAAAAAGATGGCGATCATATTCCTTCCAGATCGACAAGTAATAAGACCGGCGGTGATCCTTACATTCACAATCTATCGCACAATCTAAAAAAAGTGGCGGCTCATTTTGAAGTGCCAGTGGTGTTTTCAGCGCCACACAAGCTGTCTCATCTATGTTCAAAGATAAACAACGACAAGGGAGGGGGTAAAGTGTGTCAAAAGAAACACGCTAATCAATACGTGGAGTGTGCAACGTCAGTGGTATATAACATACCAATGAGTTGCGGGAAATCGTATGTGAGCCAAACAGGGCGTTGCATTAATGAGGGGGCCAGGGAACACGCCTGGTCAGTGAAACAGTCCCCGCCGGGCAATCTTGCGGTGCCCTGTGGTAGATGCCCATGTGGCCCGGAACAGGAAAAAACAACAGTTCTGGGCAGATACGTAAACAAAACATGGCGAGAAAGGCATGAGGAATTCCGCATAAGAAAGCAAAGGCAGTCTCTGTGTATTAGAGCGCCGTCACTGCACTTAACAAATAAAGAGTTTTTCTTTTTTGAGCCAACACCCATATAGACGGTATTAATAGTCAATGTTTGTTTAAATAAACCTTCAGTTGTGAGTGCGCTTCGTCTCTGTCGCCTTCGTCCTTGTTCATTCGGCGCTTTCCATTCAGCTTACGAATATCTCGACGATCCTGCATGTACGACAGCTGTGCGGGAAAGGATGTGTCGAAGTAACGTCCGTAGTTTACATCCACTCAAAAAGGCTTTCAGCACAAACTCATTTCATGTAGCGGCCGCAAATCACAATACACCGATGGGTATACACGCAGAGACTAGATCGCTGTATGATTCGCCGATTTTAAAATTAAATGCATTGTAAAGGTTTTTTGTTTTTTTTCGGGTGCTTGTAAACAAGCAATTTTTCAGAACGAGCTTTTCCAAAAAATCGGCGAATCAGCTCGTGATCTCAACTCTGCACATTCCCATCGGCGTACGCTGGTTCGTTGATGCTTTAAAGGAGTTCGTTTCGGAAGCTTTTTAACGTGCCCGCAAAACTGGGGGTATTACATGAGTTGCCACCCCGAGCAGCCCGCAATCTTTCTATGGTTAGGCCCTCTCCGTGTCACTGTCACTCTGATGGCGGGCACCGGATTATGTATATCCGCAGATCCGGCTTCCAATTCTCGGATCTGACTATACGGAACGCAAGTTCGTCTGCTTCTTGAGCAGTGAACTGCGGTGACGTCAGAGAACGCCGAGCTCTGATTGGCTTCAATGGGAAGGATAGTGGGTAGACATCAATGCTAGCTGCCTCGAGGTCTACCCACTATCCTTCAATCAGAGCTAATCAGAGTTCGGAGTTGTGACGTCACCCCCAGCGCAAGAACCAGACGAATTTGCGTTCTGCATGGTAACGGACAGCTTAAAGAAAAGCAGGGCGTGGCTTACGATATTCACGCTTCTTGTTTTGTGATTGGTTCCTCGGTCGCTCATGAGGGCCAATGCCGTAACCTGATGGGTCGCCGAGAGATATTGAGATGCCCGGGACATCGCCATGCGCCGCGTTTCTTAGGATGTCGTTGAATACGGTGTTGTTGAAAAATAGAGTGGGTGTGCTGACGAGCTGGTGATGGGTATACGATCATAAAAGTAACACCCGAGACTTCGGTGAGGGACAAAGAGCCGGAGTCACACTACTCGTGCCTGCATCATACAAAACGCATGGCTGTTCGTTGCGGATGTAATGACCAAATCATCTGCGGGCACACCTCAGGCGTTTTCAAAGCACGTCTTTCCCATACGTATGTATGCTTCGAACATCTCTGCAGACAGTTTTTGCACGACCAATCTGAAAAGACCGTCACGCAAGGAAAAAACACGTTTCAGACAATAGAGAGTTTTAGGGAACCGTTTCTGCACATCCGATACGGTGCGATGGGACCTCCGGTACCAACTGCGCATGCGCTATCACCGAACACTCGCGCATGCGCAGTGCGTACCGGGGGCCCCATCATACCGTATCGAATATGCAAAAATGGTTTCATAAAACTCTCTACTGTCTGCAGACTGCCTTTTGTATGATGTAAGAGTGTGGTCCCAGCTTTAAAGGGGCGATGCAACAATTTTTGTATTTTGCGCAAATACCGCTTAGACCGGATCCCTGACGTTAATGACCTGTGAAATACCCGCTCGTTTTTCACCCCACGCAATTGAAGTCGCAGAAAAAAATAAAGAAAAACGAGCAGAGTTCACCCCCTCAACTCACAGCCAGAACAAGCGGCTAAGTCATCTAGCCGATTATATGCCGCCAATGTTGATCATAGCCATGCGCTGGGGTTGGCAAGGCACAGGACACGCGCTGAGTTCCAGACATTGTTGTGGTTCGGCTGTTGTCGTCGTTTCAGCGATTGGACACAGGACACTACCCGAATGCTTCTCGAGCTATCGATTATCACGAGCCCAAATCGAGCGTCCACGCCATGCTCGGGTCCAATCTATGAGCCGCATTCAAATATCATCACTGGGCGGTACTGCGACCGCCCAGCTACGTCATCAGGTTTTGCGAAGCAGAGATTGAATGGAAACACTCGGTTTTGTCCTCGAAATTACAGCACAACAAAGGAGTTTCTCGGCCAGTGGCGTTGCGTGCGAGTATCCTCTCCCACTATTGCCAATAAGCTCGTGTAAAGCGAAAAACATTCCAACTGAATATCGTTGCACCGCCCCTTTAAAGTCGAAGAAGAAAGAGCCAGAAATCAACATTTTGCGATTTATTTTCTATCAAGTTCGTGCTGCTGGCTCACTAGATTTCGGTGACACGCCACGCGAACCTCAAGGTGGTGTGAGGTAAACCTTCATTCGCTGGAGTGGCCGCGGGTTATATCGTCAAAGTTACGCTACTGCCGACTGCTTGATAGCGGCACTGTATCAAGCGTCTATATAGGAGTCGTGATAAGAGTGAGTTCGGCTGCCTTCCTTTTGCATATTAGATTTTTCTTTCATCGCTGGGGAGCATCGCTGTCGCGTTTGTACTGCGGCTTATAATCTCCGATAGCTTGCGCGTATCGAACACTCGCGGTCTCGTCAAAGCAGGGGCTCTAATCTGGGCACTTGGCGAAATAGCCAGCGACAAATTCAGTGGCCGTGATTGGCTGCCGCCGCGGTTGCACCTTGTCGCCGGGCGATCACGGCGGTCGAGTTCCTCGCCGACGTTTTTCGCCAAGTGTCAAGGTTAGAGCCCCCGAGCTGGTTAATACTAAATCATCCATATCGGGACCTGCGTGGCTTTTATTCTGAATGAAAGACGCTTCGAAGGCGATGTTTTATCTTTGTTTCTCTTTTTCTCGCAGTGACAAACGGGCAATGTCGGCGTATAAGTATACAGGGTGTCCCCCAAAAAACCTACAGAGGTTTTTTCTTTGCCGCCCAAATAAACTAAGCATGGCCGAACACTCGTTCTTCGCCCAAATATAGCGCTAGCGGTCCGAACCAGGGGCCAAAGGTTCAGAACTAACTGTAATCTCATTCAAAAGTTATAAATGGTTTCCTGAAAATTTCAATGGGAAAATGGTGGCCGACGGAACTCTCAAAAACACGAAGCCGAATGGCGCCAGTTCCTGAAAACGGGCGAAAACGGGTACCATTTTTCCTATTTAATTTTCTAAAATCAATTTATAACGTTCTAATGAGATAACCGTTAGCTATGAAACTTTGGCATCTGCTTCGGATCCCTATAGCGCTACATTTTGGAGGAGAGTGAGCGTTCGGCGATACTTAGTTTATTTCTGCGGTGAAAAAGTAAAAAAAAAAAAAAAAACAGTAATTATTTTTTGCGGCACGCTGCACTATAGAAACCACGTCGAACTTTAAAACTTTTACATGGTCGTTCAGACATGCCACATATAATTTAATCTTACGTTCTTAGTGCTGACCTCGCGAATAATTCCTACACAGTCCGAACCAACTGA